TGTTAATTGAGCTTGCAAAAAGGATACGGAATCGACATTATGTTTTCCTTTATTTGCAAACCCTCTCGGATTCCCATATTGGGAATTGTGTATTGCCATGTCTTTGATAATCTGTCCTGCATCGTCCACATTTAAATTCATAAACCTCCTTCTAGCTGCCGAATCTAGCACTGATCTAGAAGAATTTCCAAGTCCATTATAGAATGCTTGGATCAATTGCCATTGTGCTAGATTGTGGTGGGGGCACTCTCTCTGTAGATCCTTGAACCTCTCCCAAGCCTCATATAACGTTTCGTCGGCTTCTTGAGCGAAGTTCTGAATAGCACTCCTTAGCACCGTTGTTCTCTCTGCAGGATAATATTTATTATAGCAATTCAAAGCAAGAGTTTTCCAGTCAGTAATACCAAGCGCAGTTCTATTCAAACCATTAAACCATAATTTAGCTTTGCCACATAATGAAAAAGGAAAAAGAATCTCCCCTAATTTGGTCTTGCGTGACCCCGGCTTGTCTAATAGTGTTACAATATTGGCAGAAATCTGCGATGTGAAGATTAGGATCTTCACCCTTAGCTCCGCTGAACTGCTTCCTCTCTATCATAGTGATAAATTGGGGCTTGATCTCAAATTGAACTCCATCTAGAGCCGGAGTGGGAGTAAGGTGCGGGAAATCTGTGAGCTTCGGTTGCGAGTAGTCACTGAGTTTCTTCTGGGTCGTCATCTCTGATTCTGAATCTGAAGGAATATCTGTGTCACTAGAATCAGAGGGAGGATCTCTTCGACCGTTGTCCTCCTCAGAACCCGCCAGAATTTGTCTATAGAGTTTCCTTTGCCTATGAAAAGAACGCTCGATCTCAGGGTCGAAAGGGATGTAACCTGATCTTGAACACCTAGGCATAAACAAAGAACTAAAGACAAATATGAGAATTGCCTCAAAGGACTAACGTTCTTTGAGGCAAAAAGGGGATAATCTAGACTACAAAAATATAATCAGAAAAAAAAAATAAAACCGTTTCCCCAGCAACGGTGCCAAATTTTGACAAGGAAATAATTCCTAAGTCCTCTAACTAATGTACATAGGGAAGTAGGGTCGAACTCCACAGGGAAACAAGTCTTTTTACTCCTGATTATTTATTATAATCTAAATTATCTAAGTAACCAATATTTTTTTGGGAATAAATTATATACTACGAAGAATACGTTTAGGGAGAAAAGAAACAATAATAAGGAAGCCTAGAGTCACAGGTTCACCAATAATTAATATTCCGGGATAAAACGAAGTAATTAATAATTAACAATGCACAAATAACATGATTAACAGGCTCTCGCAATTTATTAATCAACATAGATCTAACAGGCTCTCGCAATTTACTAGATCTAAGTTCCTATTGAAAATAACCCTTAATATTAAATTAACATCTGCTCGATTCATCAATTCAATATTGCTAAACAATCACAATCAAATTACATCTGCTCGATTCATAATCTAATGGCAAAGAATTAAAACAATTCAATAAGAAATTATCATGTTATATCAATAATCAATAATAACAAACTATCCCTTCATATTAATTATGGATCCCCATAAACCCTATAATGAAACTACTCACACATCATCATAACTAAACTAATCAAATAATCAAATAAAGGCATAATCAAAGAAGCAAGTAAAATAGCTGAAATTAAATGGGAAGAAATTGTTACCAAAAAGAAATCTGGAATTAATGGAATAATTAAGAACAAAAGTTGAGAGAGAATTTTAGAGAGCGAAAAATTCTAAGTAGAGAGAGAAAGTCTAAGAAAGAAGGTAATCTCAAAATTCCGTACAAAATTGTACTTAAACGTTTTCTAAAACAAGAATTAAAACTAAACTTAATCAGGTCTTCAAAAAACGCGCGCCCGATCGGGCGAAGGGCCGCCCGATCGGGCGCGCCTTTTTCTTCTCGTTCCTCCCAAGCAGAATCGCCCGATCGAGCTAGATGCTCGCACGATCGGGCGCGCCTTAGCATGCACAGCACTATGGTATTTCCGCGCCCGATCGGGCTAGAGGTTGCCCGATCGGGTCCTTGCTCCCCTTTGAGGCTTGGACTTCGATTGGGCTAGATTTCTCGGCCCAATCCGGATTTCCTCCTCGGTTCTTGAATACTTGGTCCAAATGCCTCGGGATCCCAATTACCGAGCCCTTAATCACCAGCTCTCACCGATTCTGGGCTCTAAAAGTGGTTGTGTCCTTCTAGCTTTCGTAGTTGATCCATAAAGCCCGGGAAAATGCTCCAAGAGTGCAATTTCCTGTAAAATACAACTAAAACTACAAAAACACTAGAAAACACAAATTAGTAATAAAAGTGGCCCGAAAGAGCCAAAAAGACTACTAATAACGACCAAGGGACGGGGGTAAAACATTATATAAAATGGACATATCATCTTCTCCGGATCTACCATATTCAAGGCGTCGGCTGCAAGGGGCAAATAAAGAGCTAAAATAATAAAAAGTTGAAGTACAAAAATAAAAAACAACAGAATTTCCAGATGCAAAGTGGAGCTACCCTTGGGAAACATGGTGCTTAACCCGCAAGCGGACAAGAATCTTTCATCCTTGAAGAAGTCCGGATGGGAGATCCAGTTCTTTGGCATAATAATATGAGTCCCATCCCCCAAGGGCTCATAGTGGTTTCAAAGAAACTCGGGTCCATTATTTGCTCCTGGGCTCTAGAAGAGAGTGCCAGGAGAGGACATTTTCTGCCCACGAGAGCCGGTTCCTTATTATAAAAGCCCAGCATCCGGTTGTGTCTCAGAGTGGGGGAGGAGACCAAATAATACTTCTCCTTCCACCCGAACCATTTGGACACCTAGTCCAAGGTCATTAGATGTTGGGGCAAAGTGGTAAGAGTATACCACGCCCCATGACCGCCTGGGGCCTTGCTTAGATAGTGCATATGAGCGAAGGCGGAAAATCTAGGGGATATATTTTGGAGCTCGCAAGCGGCAACGTAACTCAGAACATTCACCCACGAGTTTGGGGTGAGCTGCCAGACACCCAGATCATACCCCTTGAGGATTTTCCTAATCCTAGTATGGAGGGGGAACCTGAGGCCAGCTTCTAGTACCACCTTGTAGTAGACAAAGTAATTGTTTGCATTTTCAAAGTTGTCCTCCCATGCCATGACCGCATCTCCAGGCGGGAAAATAATTTCCCACCCCTTTCCAAAGGGGTGTTTCTCTTTGAAAGCCCTGAAGCCACTCTTCATCAAGGCTTTATCACCCGGAAGCATTCTTATCTTCTTCGGGTCCGGGTTAGCTGAAGGTTTAGTCGGCTGCTGATAGTCAGCCGTAAAATTATCTAGATCGGAGCCAGATGCCTCGGCTCCCGATCTTTTGGCGGCATCATTACCGCCCGTCTCTTCCCTGGATCCATTAGAAGAGGCGACCTCTTCACCGCCTACCTCTCTCACGCTTGAGCTTCCGGAGGATTAGGGAGCCTCATTATCGGAACCACTTCTCTCCTTCGAATCCTCTTGTTCCCTATCCAAAATAACCTCATCTGCGGGCACTTCCATAGCGCGCCAGCTCCTAGGCTTAATAGTCGTCTGTTTAACCCTAGCCATTGTGTCCTGCACAGACACAGAGTGGGAAGAATTCGGGGATGAGCACAATAGTTCCGACAGTCAAGAAAAGGCACCCCCTGTTCTAGATTCAACCGTTCTAGGAGACCGGCTGAATGTCCTAGGTAGTGCCGAGTGTGTGAATTGAGAGCTCATTTTTATTTTTAAATACTATGTATACAGACGAAAAAAAATAATGTATACAAATTAAAATGAAGGAAAAGCTAAAAAAAGGGTACAGGAGGTTACCTTACTTTATTTTTGAAAACTGTGAAAACAGTAATAGACGGTGATCGGGTGTCGTAAAAGAGCACACAAAAATCTTGAGAATCTGACGCAGATAAGATCAGAGTATCTCTCTTTAAGAATCTCTCTTTCTCTCTCTAGAAAGTCAAAGAAAATAAAATGGTGAGAGAAGGGAGGGGGGGGGGGGGGTAAACTCCTATTTACAGAGGGGTGAAACGGGGGAATCCCCGTCATACCCCAGATTTTACTAGCCGTTTTCACTGTTCATCTCTCTTAGATGGACATGTGTCACAGGCGTCACGTAGAAGCCACGTGACCCCTATGAGGGGCAAATGTTTAGGGTAAAAATACCCCAGACATGTGGTCCAATGAGAGAAGGCCACGTGTCAAACCCAGGTTGGTCCAAGTGGCCCAATAGCCATCTGACACGTGTCCCCTTCAGGTATCTTCTGAAATTGCGGCCTTCAAGGGCCAAATTTCCAAGAAGTGTCCTAAAACGGCGCAATAATCAAAATCTAGGTCAAGTGACCCAGATAGGGGCACACCTTCCAACGACCCTATAAATAGGGAGATATTTCCCCATTTTTGAGACACAATCCATCATTTTATTACACCTACTTTCTCTCACATCAGAGAAACACATGAGCTTGGAATCAAGCAGATACCCACCTAAATTTCCGCACTCTTTATTCTCTTTCAAGTTACTAACTTGATCGTCGGAGGCGGAGCTCCTACAACCGGAGTCTCCGTTGTTTTACAGGTGTAGCTCAAGCCGGACCAATCTTTGTGACGTAACTCTCCTGAGGGAAAAAAACAACCAAAACAATAGACATGTGGGATCTAGTTAGATTCGTCTCGTAAAATACTTTCACAATATCAAATTTTTATAATTTTTACTTTTACAGAATTATAGATATTTAGCATATAAAATGTGCTTAGGGATGCGTAGTTTTCTCTTTGTTGCAATATTAATAAAACGGAGGAAGTATAACCTTTTGATTATTTTTTAATATCACAATCTTTGAAGGGTGTTTTAAACAAGATATAACTAGAAACTAGTTAGTGACCCGGGCGATGTCCCAGATTGTATTTATTAGATGATTGTGGATATAGTGATTGAAACTTATAGCTTTTAATATTATTACTCCGTATTACACAAATTAAAAGAATCAATAAATTGAATTGACCACAAATATAAATTCCACAATTTTCTCGAGATTATTTGATAGTTTAAAAAGTCATATTTTTTGTAAATCGTAGATTACCATTATAGTCCTAAAAAACTATACCGTTTGTACTCTTATCCTACTATACCATTTTTTTCACTCCCTATAACAGAGTCCAATGTACGTAGTATATTTTATTTTTTCTTGTCATATCTCTTCGTAAAGTGTCGACCAAAATCAGCCAGTTGAATAATATTGCAAATAAAACACACACACACAAAAAAAAATATCATATAATTAATTGAAAACTAAGAAGAATGACATCTAATCACTGAATGTAAGCTATATTTCAACAAATGATCAATTTGTGTAAGAAGACATATTAACACTACACACACCTTAGATTGATATGATAGAAAATTATAGAAAACTAAATGGTGACAAACCTTATTAGTAGTATATAAAAACTAATGGAGTTAAGGCCAAATTTGGGCCCTCAATTCTATAATTTTTCACCGTTTAGGTACTGAATTTTTTTATTCACCATTTGGGTACTCAGACCCATTTTATCGCAAAAAAAAAATTAAATCAGCTCAAACAATTTAGTACCCTTGGTTAAAAGTTGAGTACCTTGGGTTAAGATGTGGGGCCCACCCAAATTTTTTCCTTCTTGCTCCCCTTTTCTAAATCAAACCCAAACATTTCTCATTCTCCATTGAAGCGCACCCAACATTCTCCATTAAAGCGCACTCAATGTTCTCCATTAAAGCAGTTTCTGAGGTAAAATTTAAATTTCTTGTTTTTTCATCATCTAGTTTCAATTTCTCAATCTAGGGTTTTATCTTAAATTTTATTCACATTACACACAAATTTAGGGTTCTCCTAAGCTCCACAACATCCTCTATTTCTTGGCTTTCGATTGATCATCCTCCACCATCGTGTAGGTGAAATAATGAGTTTTCTTGGCTTGTAAGTGTTTGATTGGTGAAATTAGAGTAAAAAATTAGAATTTTATTGATTTTGAAACGCCCAAAAATGCTTGATTAGGATTTTGCTGATCAAAATTGATGAACGAAGATTGCGCGGATGGTGAAGGAAAGAAGAAGATTGTGGGTTTTGAGGATTTGAGATGCGTGGGTTATTGATTATGCTTCTTTTTTATTTATTTGTCAAAAAATACAAGGCTACTGTAAGTCTGTTATAAAGATTGCTACAATCTCTATTGAAAATCAAGTATTGCTTTGGCCTCTTCTTCTTTTTTATTTTTTTTCATACAATCTCTATTGAAAATCATCAATCTGGGCTGAGTTTCTGATTTTGCAATTCTTCAAATGTAGATGGATAACAGAGGACTGAATCACACACTAGATGAAGCAGCATTTTTTTTCAATTTTGGACAAATCATGGATGATGAAACAGTTGAATTAATTAATGTTTTTTTTTAATTTTAATTTAATTAGTTTTTTAATTATGTATGGTTTATGGGGAGTTAAGGGTGAGTTAGTTGGCCTGAAAATTTGTTAGAGTACCTAAAGGGTGAAGGTAGATTACAATTTTCATAGTACAACCTATACAATAGTTATAAATCTACAAATAAGCATGGTGTTTTTTTTTTTTTGAAAGGAGATAATTATAGCATATAGATTTAAACAAATACAATACAAACTAATGATATATAAAAAACTAATTTTCTTACAAAAAAGATGCTAAGAAAATCATGCCACTTCAGAATTACCTTTCTTTACTCAAACAATACTATAGAAAATTATGCACTACTATTTTATTAAGAGCGAATGAGCGATTATTGTAACAAATCTTTGGTATTTCTGACCACACAACCACAATAGCAAAGTGTTTTATTTTATAATGATAGGGTAAGTGTCAAAGTACTAATATTTAAGTTTTAATTTGATTTTAATATTAAAAAAAAAGTGTAATTCAACCATTAATTTCATAATTAAGTCATTAAATATTTAGCAGTTATAATATGAGGCAATTCAACAATTTTTTTGTAATTACTATTTTAATGATTCCAATACTTCAATTGAGTCCAAATAATTAGAATAGTAATTACAGTACAAAAAAAAATAAAAAAAAAATAAAAAACTTTGAATTGTCTCATTTTATAATGTTAAGTAAATATTTTAATGTTGAATACATAAATCACTATAATTGACAGTTATGGTAGCATTAATAATGCCGATTACAACTTTATGGGAGGATTTTTGTTGTTGTCGTTGTTGTTGTTGTTGTTATTGGGTTCGAATGACATGGAGATGACATGGCGAAATGTAATAAAAAAATGACACATGGCGGATTGACACTCCTACCTTTGAGTTTTAATAATAATATTGATAGTGGTATAAACCTTACGGTACACCCAAGGATATTATTGTCACTATGGTGTTTGGTGCGAGTTCGCGCGAGTGCTAGTTGGAGTTTTAGGGTGTAATTCTTGTCTTGAGCTGTTTCAATGTGAGGTTTATTATTTTTTTTCAAGTAGATAATGAGTTTGAATACCTCCGTTTCTTTTTAGTTAACACATATTCCTTTTTATGAAGTTTTTTTAGTTAACACGTTTTCTTTTGTGGTAAATTTTTTACCTTGCATTTACAAGGTATCCCACTTACTTTTTCATTCACTCTCACTCTCTCTCCTCTCCTTAATATATGTGCCTAAATCAAACGCGTCAACTAAATAGAAACGGAGAAAGTATGTGTCTAAAGTATTGTTGCTCATGGTATTTTTTTTAAAAAAATTGATAATTTTTTTTTTGGTAAGGGAAAAAATTGAAGTGCATTCTATTAAGAAAGTGTAAAAAATTGATCACTTTAGTTACGTTATTTTTTTGCTAACTATAGGTGTTTAGAGTCGGTCTTCAATTTGCATGTAAGTCCAAATGCATAAGTTCGATTGAAATTTTAAATGCAGTCAAAAGATAGGACTTTTTTATTTTTTAATAAACTTAGTTGATTATGTTCTTGCGGCCTTAAGTGATCTCATATGAATTTCTTATTCTTTTAACAGAAATAAATCTTATTTAATTATTACATAATTTTGCAGCGATAACACATTTTATTTGTTAAGTTAGTAATTTTCATGACATAGTGGCGGATCTTGAAACATTTTATTTCGGGGGCCAAGTTGTCAATTGATAGATATTATTAAAAAAAATTAAAAAAAAGATCGAGATACCAATTGCAAAAAACGTACTCTAACTTTCAAGTGAGCAATTTATCAACCTCATAACGTCTTGTCTCCTAAAATTGGTTTTGAGTGCTCAAACTATTCAAAATAACAAATGAATTTAATTGAAAAAAATAAAAATTGAAAACTGTCTTTTTTTTTTTTATAGGACATAATAACAATTAATAACATTAACTATATAATTTAAAACAAAACATGTTCAAGGTGCAAATATTTATTAATTAATGGTTTAAAAGGAAAGAATAAGTGTAGTAAAAGAGAGAAAGAACTTTTAAGGGTTGTCAGTGCTTAATGGCCTGGGAATTGGGTAGCTATAGACCTAGAGTAGTAGACTACAGTAGTAGATTAGCAGATTAGTACTTTTATTACTACTACGTTATTTCCCCTTCCTAAGGTAATTAAAAAAAATCATTTTATTGGGCCATTTACCTACTACTGTACATTTTTTTTTCCCAAATCTTTCAGGGGACAAGCACCATTGAGCCCTAACAAAGGTCCGCCTCTGATGGCACAATATATAGTACCTGAACATCTTAGTATAAAAGATTATGTGGTCTTTCTATCTATCTCTCCTTATCCTAATAAGATAATTGCCTAAATTTTCTTTCTCAAGCCAACTTTCCTAATTACCCTTTTTTTAAGTGGTCTCTTAATTTTCTTAAGTGATCTTTCTTTTTTTAAGTGACCTTTCTTCTTAAGTAATCTTTCTTCTTAAGTAATCTTTCTTTTCTTAAATGAGTGATCTTTCTTTTAGATTGATTTTTCTTAAGTGGTCTTAATTGTTTTATCTCTCTAGCATTTAATTATTAAATCTTTAACCTAAGCTAATTTCTCTTAATTTATTAAGTGATATTTGTTAAGTAGCTTAGCTCTCTTTTTTTGTTTAGTGATATTTTTTAAGTGGTCCTGCCCAAATGATCTCTCTCTCTCTCTCTCTCTCTCTCTCTCTCTCTCTCTCTCTCTCTCTCTCTCTCTCTCTCTCTCTCTCAAGTGATTGTTTCATAAACTCTCTCTCTCTCTCTCAAGTGATTGTTTCATAAAAAATTAGCTAAAGAAAATATAATTAGCTAAAGTGGTCCATTATTTCATTAGTAAGCTTCTTCTTGAGCTAATTGCTCTAATTCTTGAGTGTTCTCTCTCTCTCTCTCTCTCTTATTTTAGTAATTAAGCATTTTTCTAATCTAATAATTGTGTTTTTTCGAGCTAATTGTCCTGATTTTCTTAAGTGGTCTCCTCCATTCTCCTAAGCTAATTGACTTTATTTTTTTTAATGTGATCGTTCTTAATTGGTCTTTCATCTCTCCAAAGCCAATTGACCCTATTTTCAATACTTATTTTTCTTAAAGGACCCCATTTTATCTCCCTCATTTTTTTTAGAAAGAAATTTTTTTTAATTAATCACAATAAAAGAAAATACACCGAGGCATAAGCCCTTGAGCCAATCAAGCTCACTAACCTTAATTTTCCTAATACAAACACTACTAATTCTATGGTATACATCATAACAAATTTTACCTACAACAATACTAGGTCTATCAATTCTAGCATCCTAAATAGCTCTATTTCTTTGCTGCCAAATACTATACACAATTGCAGCACATATACTCCGATAAACTTGCTTCTGGAATGTGTTTTTAGCCTTCCAGCACCAATCACTATTGTAGGGAATATTTCAAGCATTACCCCAAACTTGAACCCCACTGTGATCATACACTAAAGTACGGTGGCGTCCAAAGGGAAGGAAGCTAGAGCAAAAGAGTCGCCAACAAGTTTTAGGAACTTGTAAACTGTTCACGAGGTGAAGGTTACACCCCTTAACGATCCAAGAGATCGTTAACTCCAATAGGTCTGGAACCATGACTAGAAGTTCCGGGATGAAGGTACAAATCCAACCTAAAAGAGATTGAACCTGCCCTAATAATAGGCCTCTACTTTATTCTGATCGTATTCATGTGCGCTTTCTGACTAAAATGCAATCAATAGGTTTAACCCTAAACTTGTTTAACTATGTTGGTTGAATATTAATGCACAAATAAAACTATTATTGGCGATCACTTGAATTATAATCAAATTAAACCTAAACAAGTTTATTAATTATCTTATTAGGCGTGATTACAAGTACCAATTCCCTTTAAACATGCATAAAATGTTTGATCAAGCAATAACAATAAATATATCAAGCAACATAATAATCATAATAATCATCATAACAATCATAATCATGTTAAAGCATAATAATATCAAGATCCTAGGCATGATACTAACAAGATTAATAACAAACCCTAGCATGTCACTAAACAATAAAAAACAAATATATAGCCCTAACATGATACTAACATGAATATTAGGAAAGAAAATAGGAAGCATCGTAGAAATCATAATTGATATAAGCAAATGACCCTAAATATGATACTAGGAAGCAATAAAACATCCTAACATGATACTAGGAATTAAAATAACAATCTAAACATGATTTCTATATCATAATATCAATTAAACAATTAAAGTATTTACTCGGATGCCTCGTATCTCTTTATAATAACAAAATACACGCGTTAGTGTAGACACCCATTTGTGTCTCCCCAAAACCAAACCCAGTGATGAGTACCTTTCGCGTCAAATCATAATAGAATGAAGTGAAAGTTGGGAAAGTCTAGTGTTGCGAACAGTTTGTTAATTTCTTTTCTCTTCTCTCTGTTTTTAGAAACTTATTTTAATAACACAGCCAATCCAGTTTGGTTGGTCCATGATATGGGTCCAATAGTAGTGTAGTTGGATGGGGCTTGAAAAAATCTTTCCAACGATATATTATAAGCCCAATTCCGATTATTATTGAGGAAGTTATGGCCAATTTACTAAACTAGGCCCAGTTTGAGCCTTATATGCGGCCCAATGATCTAGAGGAGGGCCTAATATAGATTTATCATTCCTAATGCAATTAGGAATGGTTTTAGTCTTCTATATTCGTCTAGAAGGTGCTTTTCATTCCTAATTCAATTAGCATTGATAAATTGACTTTTGTTGACTTTTCAGAGTTTTAATTAGAATCAAAG